CGGTGAGGCTCTATTTCTGCAGCTCAGAAGTGCATTCTGCATGACTGTGCAGGAGAGTCTAGCAGCACTGTGCCTTGCTTGTTCCTGTGAATTGCTATTCGCTTCTGATGTCTGCTAGTTCCTTACTTCTGTTACCTTGGATCATTCCTAAATTGATCAGCTACATATAATTAATAGGCAATGGCGTGAATTTTACACAAACTTCCTGATAACAAATGAGGAGCTGGCAAGAGGGAGCAACAGTTAATGCTCACTGAATGGTTGGTAGATACTGATGGCGACCCCGCCCCCACCCCCAGACTTTTGTACCACTTATCAAGTACTTCCCAAGGTCTCTAGGCCAAGCGCAGGAGAGAGGAAAGGCAACAGCTACATGCCATACCTTATGGCAGTACTCAACCAAGTGCCACCTGTGACCCAACCAAGAACCCTAGTGCCGGGCTGTCGGGCACTATTGTGGTGAGAGAGTATGGGGTGGAGGAGGTGGAAAGGGGGAGAGGGAGAATGGTTTGTGAGTTGGGGAAGAGGTGGATCCCGACAGATGGGGATAGGGGACAGGCTGACATGAATGGCCAGCTGGCCACCTGAGTCCAGGGAGATTTCTGGGACTGGCCTATGACCAAGGACTAGGTGTTGATCCAGGGCCCCGGAGCAGCCAAGCAGGGCTGAGTTTATGTCTGTGGCTCCCATCATCACTGGGAGCAGTGTGGGGGGCCTGTGGTCTGGGGGCCACCTGGGACCATGTGGTGTCCAAGAGCTATACTGCCATGGCGAACATGCTGATCTGGGTGGTCTGCATAGCCTTCTGGGGCCATGGTGACAGCCTGGCCCAGGCTGCTGCCAAGGACCATGTCTGAGTTCGTGGTCCTATGGCCAGGGTCTGTGTTAATATCCCTGGCCTATGATGCTACCAGGCCCCAAGTGGATGCACCAGTCTGGGACACAACCTGTGATCATGTTGGTGTCCAGTGGCTGTGCCATTGCCGGTACCAGTCCAATTTGGGTGGTATGGCTGTCAACTGGGGTCATGGTATTGTTCAGACCAGAGATACTGTTGAGGACCATGTCTGGGTCTGTGGCCCTGCCACATCCAGGGTCTGTGTTGATGTCTGTGGCTCCTGAGATCACTGATGGACGGATGAGGGGGTGGGATGTCTAGGATGCCACTTGGGGCCATGTTGGTGTTTGAGGGCCATGCTGCTTTGGGGGCCTGCATGGTGACATCTGTGCTGGGTTGCTGCCTAGGACCATGTGTGGGTCCGTTGTCCTATCACAACCAGTGTCTGTGGTCCATGTTGCCACTAAAGGCCACATAGTTGCTGGGGTCTGGGTTGCAACCTGTGTCTATGAGAGAGAGTCTGAGGGCCATGCTGCCACCAGGGACATCTTGATCTGAGTAGCCTGTGCTGTCACCTGGGACCATGGTGTCATCCAGGCCAAGGCTGCTTCAGCAGGCATGTCTGGGCCCTTGGCCCTACTGCAGCCTGAGTTTGAGTTGCAATTGAGGGCCATGTGGATGACCTGGGTCTGGTTGGCCACCTTGGGCCATATCAGTGTCTGAGAATTGGGGCCACACTGATCTGGGTGACTGGTGCTACCACCTGGAGCCATGCAGACATCTGGGCATAGGCTGCTGCCTAGGGCCGTGTCTAGGTCTGTGGCCCTGCAGAGGCCCCGGGTCTAGGGTGGCTCCAGTTGCCACTAAGGGCTCTTCGGATACTGGGGTCTGGCCAGACACCTGGGACTATGTTGATGTCCTGTGGCTGGATCCTCATGGATTGGAGGGGCAGGCCCTGCCACTGTGGTGGCATCTGGGCTGCTTCTGCTGCCTAGGACCAGTTCTGGGTCCATGGTCTTGCTGCAACTGGTGTCTCTGATGATGTCCGTGGCCTGTGTTAGCAAGGGGGAGTCATTGGAACCATGCTGTGATGAGTTGGTCCCACCCTTCACTAACCCTGGGATGGCTGGTTGTGCATAAGAACTGACCCTTCCCCTCAAGAGAGAGCTCATCCTCACACTCAGGAAAGATGGCCCCAGCCCTCACCATAGGTGTGCACCTCACCTGAGAAGCACACTAGAGCTGACCCTATGGTGGGGATTCAGGTGAGCCAACCCCGAGGGCATGAGAGCAGGAAAGCTGAGCCCCCCCCCCCCTCACGTGGTGGCATGGATGAAGGAAAGATACCTCCCTCCCCTCCACTTGCTACCTGGAATCGGGAGCATGAGATAACTAGCCCAACCCTTCACCAGCTCCAGCACACAGGAGAGCAGACCCTGAACCCCACCTGGGCATCACATTAGAGCTGACCCTGTTGCTGGGGCACAGGTGAGCCAGCCCTGAGGTCGTGAGAGCAGGAGAGATGACACCCCCTCCCCCATGTCCTCTACAGCAATCAGGAGAGAGGGCCTTGCACCTCACCTGGGCAAAACAGTAGAACTGACCCCGCCAATAAGAGTAAGGAGGACCTGGATTTGAGGGCCCAAGAGCTGAACTGGTCCGGCTCCTTGCATAGGCTGCATTGGGTGAACTAGCCAAGGCAGTGCTGGAGAGCTCATCCAGGTAATGAGGACGAGGGAAAGCTGGGGGACTATCACCCAGGCCCAGAACCAGGGCTATGAGTTAGCTCACCCCAACATCCACCAAATTTACGAACTATTATAGCATGCAAAGGAGATGTACCTATAGATCCAAAGCAGCAGGATCTCCATGACAAAGGACAACAACGGGATATTTAAGAGGAGCCCCAGTGAGAGCCCATTGTCAGTGGTGTAGCAGAAACCAGAGGCCTCGAGCTGGACCAAAGATTTGTGGTAATGAACAAGACTAAAGGGGAAACTGTGTGTCTCAATGGGCCACACTTCAGTTTCCATGACAAGATTATGTTTTTGTTTTTTCTTTTAAATTTGGTTTTGTTTTAGGGAGGAGGTTGCAAGAGCAGTGGGTGAATTGAGGGGACAGGGAGATGAGTGGGATCAGAATGCATGTTGTAAAATCCACAAAGAATCAATAAAAGTAAAAAAAAAAAATCCAATGCTCATGGATTGAAAGTCCAATACAGTAATGAAGCCAGTTCTCCAGAACTGTCCAGTGCTGTGATCTCAAGCAATGGCTTCATATGCTTATCACCCTCTTTCTCATCAAACCAATTGAAGTTTGCATGGAAGCACAAAGATACCAGAGCAGAGAAGATGTATTTGAAGAAAACCAAGGAGGACTTTCCTATGAAATTAAGACATCTGATACTGTAATTCCAACAGTAGAATAGTGCTTTGTGGTTAGTTATGTGACTTGAGAATTCCCAGACATGTATATGTGTGCTTGACATTTATGTTCTCAACAGTGGGAAAAAGAATCCTTAACAACCCTCATTACTTTTCATGGTAAAAATCTGTAAACCAGTGTACATCTGCAAAAACATAGGTCTTGTTGGTCAATAGAAAAACATTAAGGTCTCACTTCTGACTATAGTGGAAAGATAAGGTGCTTATAAATATGTATAAGCAATCTAATAAATACTTGCATGTGTATGGATATGTATTTTGCTCCATGAAAAACTGCTATGAATGTAGACTGGAGAGCTCTGAGCAGGGCCTTCATTATGATCCATTTGGATTTCCTAATCTGCCTTTCCGAAGCTGTGTGTGTGTCCTGAGCTTACTCACCAGGTCACGCTTCTTAGAGTAGAAAGTGCACAATTTTCTGGAGGTCTTTTGAAAGCTCTCTGTCCCATTGACAGTACCAAGGGTCGTGCTGTAGCATGCAGAGCAGATTGTCTCTGCGCCTCTGTAATGTACTTATTCTTGAAATCCCATTTATTTGCTGGAAGTCAATTTGTAAAACCACATTTACTCCATTTTTTTTTGTGCTGTGATCTATGGAATTACAAGTACATGCCAAGACACACAGGGGACAACTTGTGGGTAACTCCTTCATCGTGTGGGTCTTGGGGTCCAGCTCAGGTCATGAAGCTTGATGGCAAGTGCCTTTTACCTGCTGACTTGTCACACCACCCCTCTTCATTTTCTGGAACTTGCTATGTAGACCAGCCTGGCACCTTTTTTAAAAAAAAACTATCAGTTTACTTGGACTTCTCTAACTCACTTGTTCCTGCTTATGTCTTTGTTATTTCCTTCTGACTTGTTGGCTGCTATTTGATTCAGGAATAAACTCATGAATGCTCATACTTCTACTTTTACTGACAGATGCTAATGCTATGAATTTTTCTGGGCTACACCAGGAGATCCCATATCAAACAAAACAAAACAAAACAAAACAACAAAAAACCCAAACAAAAAACCAAAATTACCCCAAACTGAACAAAACCATCTTTTTACTTTTATACATATATTTGTAATAAAATTATGTGACGATCTGACGCATATAGATAACACAGCCACTCTCACTCCTGTCCCATGACCTTTCCTCATGGTCATGTTTCTTTACTGTTTGACCAGGGCCATCACAGTCACTGTGGGTTTAGAGCTATGAGTTGGAGCCTAGTGGGCTCAGCAGTGGGTACAAGAGTAGACAATGATTTCCTTTCTGCTGGGAACGAACAGCCAGTGCAGTTCAGCAGTAATGAGGATGGCCTGTGAGCACTGCTCCCATGACCCACAGCTGGATCAGGTCTGTGGGGGTAGTGCAGGTAGCCACAGCTCTGAGTCCAAGATTGCAACAGTTGTATCAATCTACAGGATGGCTGTTATCTGAGTCAGCCCAGCTGGGTTACATAGCCCAGGTTGGCCTTGAACTCAGGATTATCCTCCTGCCACAACTTCTGGTGCACCACTCTGCCTGGCTAGCAAAGAATTTCATACTTTAAAGAAAGACAAGTTTACAACTAGCCAGGAACTCAGGGTCTATTATTCTTATCCATAAAGATACACTCCACAAGTAAGGACCTAGTACACGAGACAATAATTTGACAGTTTTCTTGTAGAAGTTCTATATAAAGTGAATACAATTTTGTAGTATAAAATATTTTAAGAATATACACATATAAGAATTGTGCACTCTTGTTTATTTTCATTTAATATACCATGAAGTTCACAGACATATATTTTAAGGTAACAAAATGTTACAATTCTGCATTTTAAAGGATATTTTCAGTATAGGTGGAGATTTAACAGATTTAACATTCAAAGTTTACTCACTTTTAAAATGTAAAACACACAACTATAATATCCAGATCTTACAATTTTAAAGTTTTAGCCAAAACATTTACAAGTAAATTTCAGACCAAAAAACCCCCAAAAAACTAACAAAGTGCCAATAGATTAAACAATGTTGTCTGATCTGTTTTCTTCTGGGGAGGAAGGTAAAAGTACACGATAACATATAAATAGTCATTTTTTAAATTGTGGTTTAGAACTAGTAATTTGAAGTACAATTCATAACAACGAGTGCTTACTTGTACATTAACCATGACAACGAATCAGCTTTAAGAGCACAGCTATGATCTCTAATAGGCTCTTTAGTTATGCTGACTGGTTTAGTATCCAATGTTTTTAAAACTATAGTTTCAAACTAAGATGAACCAAATCCCACCAACATCAAGAAATGGTTTCCAAGAACTTCATATTAATAACAAAATCTCCCTTGTTACTGAAAATAGGTTCAGACCTGTTTTAAGTGTGAACAGTACTGATGGAAAAGTTTGGCAATAAGTATATTTTTAGCAAGTGATGGCCTTGTGTTCACTACCCTAAGACGTGCTTTCCACATGAATGAGACATTTTATCAAATGTTTACAGATTTTTTTGGTCACTTGACCTCACTGGGTAGTTATGTTGGTCAGGTGTTTAGTTAATGGACAAATTAAATTACATAGTGACTCCAAACTGTGTTTCCACAGAACACCTGTGCTCCATAGCTAAGTCCCAATGTTCCCTCTATAATCAAATAATAATGCTGCTTGTCCAATTCAGAGAACACATTTTATAGATTTAAGTTAATAGATTCAATTTTAAGACTTTTCTACCATAGATTAAAAAAAAAAAGTCTTTGTTGCCCATCACTCATCAGAATGCCAAAAGAAAAAAAGGCTTGAGAACTATGAAATATTATACCTAAACATCAGAATATTTGAAGGTTAATATCAGCATAATAAACTGTTTATGGAAATATGCTTTGATAGATTTGCTTTTATGCTAGAGACCCATATTTTCTCAAAGCAAATGTGAATTCAGTATGTAAACATTTTAAGATACCCAAAAGAGTTAGGGATTTCCTATTTGTTCTTGAATGTGTCTGAGAACCACTGCACCAGTGTCTGGCTCCAAACCCTCTTTGGGTTCTGTGCCAAAAGGATGCTAACAGATACATCACCAAGGACAAGGTTTCAAGGCAAGATCCCAGTACAGTTGCTACTAATGCTCCCATTTTTTTGGAACTAATTACCATATAGCTTAAATGTTATGCTAAGAATCTTTGCTTCTATGTATTACAGTATTATGACTTGGGAAAAACTTGCAATCTATTTGTAGGCAGTTAGCTTTAAAAAAACAACACTGCAGCTCTTAGCACTAACAGCCCTGAGAACAATGCATTCAAATTCCAGCTCAATAGAAACAATCTAATTGAAAAACCTTAAAAGTATAAAATCAAATTCTGGAAAACGTACTAAAAAATCAACATTTGAGGCACTACAGACTACAGTACTTTAATAGTTGGAAGGACTTTGAGAAAAGAACAGAGCTATGTGTGTTTATACATACATACATTCACACCCTGCGGTAATGAAAAGCATATGTTCCCAAATTTTCTAAACATTGTATTGTAGTATCTTCTGCTAAAGATATCAGTCTGGCATCAAGAGTTTTGGTCACTGATATAAAGTACTGGCACAGAAATTTGTACTATAAAGGGGAACAGAGTCAAGAGCTTGGTTGGTAACCACTCCAAGTGACTGGCAGTCCCCCAGGACATCAAGGATTTGAAGACCAAGCCAGAAGGCAAATGACTTGTACCAGTGTAACAAAATCTTCACAGTAGAAATAAAACCTGTTGTTAAAACATTCAACCTGTTAATACTGTCTAGACAGCAAAGAAAGAAAAAAGGGAAAGTGTACAGACACAAATTCGCAGTGACATTGAAAAGAGTCTCCATTCTCTACATGGAGCTTGTGTACATGGAGATCTGCTACAAGAAGTCAACAAATACCATGAATCAACTGTTAGCATTTCTCTGATGTCAAAAAGAACTCACTTCTGTTATACGTTAAAAATATATGTTCCCTGCTTCCTTTTAATATAATATAAATTTATAAAGCTTTACTAAATGAAGTATTTTGCTCTAAGAGAAACATCTACTGACTTACATGAAAATAAACAGTCCTGTATGTTTAAAATCTATACTTACATGTTGGAGTATGTACACTTCATATAGTATTTAAAATGAAATACTTAGGCCTAAGTAGCTTTTGCCATTCAAGGTATGGAGCTAGAGGTACACTGCTATTCACCCTTAGACTGCAAAGGGAAATAGAGATTTCTGTAAAATTTGACACATGCCAGTCCTGGAGTAATATGAAATCAAAACACTGGTGTGGCTGTTAACTGGCCAGATGATGACCAGGAAACAGCAAAGATAAATAACTTTGGAATTCCTGTGGGTAACACATCAATAAGTACAACTAAGGCACACAAGAAAACACCAGAAATCTAAAGCACTGTGCAGAAGATATGTGAGAAGATTTCAACCTAACTCCTAATTGTGCTTTGCATGGGCAAAAGCTAAGAGGTCACCCTAAAGTCATCCGCTACCACTTCAATATTTCTTGTGCTTTAAAGTCTCTTCCTGGCACTTCTCCAGTACCTTTCTTCTTCTCTGGATTGGTTTGTGGAGGCCAAGACAAAATTTAAAATTGCACACAAATTTAGCAACTAAAATCTTGGGATCTGGAATTTTTAATGCTATTTCAAATTGCTGACTAGATAGTTGCATTGTCACATATATTTGTTCTAGATGGGAACAAAGAACTTTGAGGGTCCAGACATCATGAAAGAAACCTGAGAGCCAGTGTCAGACAATCAGGGTGTTACAGGATTTTGTTCTAAGAAGCACTCCAATGAGATGACTGTGATTTTTTGTCAGAGTTCTTCATAAACCCACAACTATGTCTATGATTCTGGACATAATCTACACACAATCCAAAAGTCTAAACAGAAATGTAAGGGTATCACTTACAACATATTAAAAGATTCCAGTTCACAGACTACAACATAATAAAAGAATCCAGTTCACAGACTACAACATATTAAAAGAATCCAGGTCACAGAATCCTTTCCTAGTTAGATTTTACATCAGTAACAGAAATCACAAGAGAATAAAAGAAAATGTTTACACACTTAAAATAAATTAATTTTCAAATAAGATAATACTTCTTCCATGGTTTACTTCTATTCCACTTTAGAAAAGTGTAGATACATTTAACAAACCAAGAATTCCAAAGCAACTTAAGAATTCCTAATTTTAGTCTAATGTCAAAACAAATCTACTTAAAAACTGTGGGAAGGGCTAGATTACCAACATTATGAACATTCACAAATAATGGCTGGAAGTCATGCGGAGTCCCTGTAAGGCCAGTCCTTCTATTGCTGGGGCAGAGGTGGGGACACAGCCAAAAGCAAAAATACAACTAGAGCTCACTCTATTTTTTATGCTGATTACAAAGTTCTTGAATAAAATCTACAGTCTCACTACCTCCTTGGCCACTGTCCTCTGTGTCTTCTTTATCACTTGTGTATTTGCTCAGAGTCCCTCAGCAGTTCTATTCTCTCTGTCAACCACAAAAGGTATTAAAACTACTATGTAGGTCTGTCACCAATTTGGCAAAGAAAAACATGATGGGGGTAATACATTGGACACCTGACCACCAAAATAACAACATTTTTTGATGAGTTTAGTTTCAGGAAGTGTGTTTGCCACACAGCCTGGAACTTTGACAATTCCGTTTTATAATCTATGAATTCTAGATATTAAGTCTGAAATTAGCAAAGAACAATTCAACTTCAATGCATGAAACTTCCATTCCACTAGATGCTACATTGTTGATTTAAAACCCTGGTTTGTTAACCACTTAAGTTCAGGAGTGATTTGCTCAGACAAGTGACAGCTACTGAAGCTAGAGTACTTGTTTCTTATGGTCACATACTGAAAACCACAGGAATGTTATAGGAAAGATACTTATAAAATTATGCATCTTGATATACTATTTTAAAGTTACTACCTGCCTGCAAAACTAAGCCAGCACAAATTCAAAACAATAGAAACACAACAAAAATAAAACATGAGGTTGCTTATGAAGGCCATAGCTTTGGGACAACTAGATCCAGACCTAATGGGCCTGCTTGTGCGGATGGTCCTGTCTATTTGCAGGGCTTTATGGCTACAGCATATTCTTCACTCATGGCACACATGACAGATACCTAGAAAGGGAAAGGACAAGCAAAGAGTTACTCAGGAGGTAATACAGAAAAGATGTGTTGTGTTCACCAAACGCTGCATTTCTGTGGACACCTTTTATGTTGAATTTGTAAAGAGGTAATCCAGTGCAGTTAGCCTATCTTCGGAACAGTCAACTTCCAAGTCAAGTGCCACTTTATCAACAGTTACTCCATGTTACACTTCTGAGTCATAACAAAGAGTCCATCTTTCCTCTCCATGCTCCCTTCCTATTCCTTAAACTCATATGCAGATCTAAAATAAGTATGGAGTTCCATGTCAGTCCAGAAGAAAGAAAATAAACAAAAACAACCCCCCCCACACACTTAATGCTTTCTTTGGTAAGAGGTCTTTGGAGGGCCAAAGAAATTGCCATTTGGAGATCATGCCAACATTTTAGCACATTTAAAGTTGTATTTCACAGTTTTGAAATTTATTTTATACATTATTGTTGTATGTGTGTGAACAGATGAAAACATCTTTTTATTAAAGGTGAAGGAACACACATAGAGCAAGATGCACAGACAATGACCTTCTGCAAAGTAGAGAGGCCCCTGGGAAGTGGCAGTCTGCGCTAGTCTTAGGCTGACTGCTCAGGGCCAGTTTTAAATGGTCCTGAGAGTCTGCCATTGGCCTTACCTGCACATCTTCACCTGCATTGTATTTCCCTTCTATTTCTTTGCCCAGTTCACCTTCTGGCAGCTTAAGATCCTCCCGGACTTCACCAGTCTCGGTCAGCAGGGAAAGGTAGCCATCCTGAATGCATATGAGCTATTAGAAGAAATTACAGGTGACACTGATTACATCATGTCCTTTCTGTTGTAATGTTTACACAGTTCACCTGCAACACACTTTTGCTTGGATAAGAACACAGCAAAACATTAATAGATTTGTGGCACTTAAAAATGCTAACATGCCTAAATGCCTTTAGTCCTACCTAGCACTCGGGAGGCAAAGGTTAGTCTCGTCTACATTGCAAGCTCCGGGCCAGCCAGAACTAAATAGTGAGATCTTGCTTCAAAAAGAAAAAAAGAAAGGAAAAATGGAGGCATGTGTAACAAACCCAGAAAAGAGGTGCAATTCACTTCCTTGTACTAGCCTCACCGCTCTCTACATGCCAAGGGATTCATATTCAGACATAATATAGACAGTTGTTCCTAGGGAGAATGATGGATTTCAGCAAGTTTTTTTTTTTTTAATAGTATGCTTTAGAAACTTTCCAAATCAGAAAACTATTTTCTGCTAACCACCACCTATGTACATGAACATACTGTAAGCAAAAATTTCCTACTAGTAGACATCAAAGTCATTTTTAGTTTTTCACTATTAAAATGGTGAATTTTATAATTTGGTTACAAGCAAAGTTAAGTGGAAATTTTTGGTCTTCAAACCACTGTTAACAGATTTAAAAAAATCTATCTATCTATCTATCTATCTATCTATCTATCTATCTATCTATCTATCTATGTGTCTTGTATTTTGATCTTATTCTATCCCCCTGTCCCATCACCATCTCTTGGCCCCTCCAGTGCAGCTGATCAACTAGTCCCTCTTGTATTTTCATGTCTTCCTTATTTCTTGGTGAGCTGGTTGGTTTCAACAGGGTTGCTTACGGAAGCATGGGTAAGGGTTATTTCCTGGAGCCTGCACAGCTTACCAGCAGCTACACCACTGACAGAGATGTCTCTCCCTCCAGTAGCATCCACTGACTGTCTGTAGACCCTCGGGGAGGGATGGTGACAGACTCTTAACATTACCTTATCTTACGGCATTAATAAAATAAACCCAGTCATGACCTAACCTGTAAAAAAGCATACTTTTTGATATAATGATTTAAAAACACATTAATTTTTCTAATTGTGTGTAGTTGTGCATGTGCATCTGTGTCTGTCTCTGTGCAGGAGCTTAAAAGAGGTTCGAGGTGCCGAGATCCTCAGGAGGCAGAGTCACAGGAGTTGTGAGCTTCTCAATTTTGTTGTTGGGAACTGAACTCGGGTTTTGCAGAACAGCAGTACCTGCTCTTAACTGTTGAGCTGTGTCTCTAGCCCCTTGACACAACTCTTTTATTAGAGGAATGAGGAAAACTGCAAGTCCCCACTATCAACTGTAGTGCCTACAATTCCAAGACACAAGACACTTTGCAAATTCCATTCATCTGAACTACCAGCTGCTAACATGTAAAAGCAGTGAGACATGGCCCTGACTTCTGCAACCAGAGCTATGATATAAGCCAGCATAGCATACAGGAGGAGTTTCAAAGTGCTCCATGAGTATCATTTAACAGGCTTTTTCTCAACTAGCTTTTAGAACTCAAATTAATCTGCTTCTATTAATCTACCATCTATTATGGGGCTAAGTTACCTCTCCTCTGTACTGTATCTCTGACTTGTTTAATGTCTTCCTAGTGGGATGCTGACCTCTCTTCTTCCCTGAGTCCCCCCCCTCTCTCCCTCTTCCCTCCCTCCCTCTCTCTCTCTCTCTCTCTCTCTGGAAATCCCACCTATTCTTTCCTGCCTAGCTGCTGGCCTTCAGCCTTTTATTACACCAATCATGGTAACAAATCTTCACACAGGGTACAAATATTCCACAACAGTGAGTTTTTAGTCACTGAAATGTTTGAGAAGCAACTGGGAAAATAGTGAAGAACAAGGAGTGTGAGGCATACAAACAGTGTTTAAATATCTGAGGACAGGCACTCATCTAAGGCAGAACTTCTTGCCCTTCTGGCCACTCCTGAGGTGGAATTCGATACTTCAGGGTTAAAGGCAGTGACTTACTGTGCCAGGATAACACCCTGCAGTTTTCTGCTGTCATGTGGGTTTTGTTCTTTGAGCATGGAGCAGCTCTAACACCTTGTCTTTTAAGACACTGACACTGTCTTGGCTTACAGATGCCACTCAGTCTGGGTCTGCTTTTTGCCTTGTAATTCGTGTAATGTATTTTTGGAAGAAACTATCTAAATGATGTGTCCTTGGAGTACCAATCACACCAGTAGGCAAATGTACCTACTGCACAAATGGTGACGCTAACCCTGACCACCTGGCTACTAGGCTGGTATCTGTAAGATCTGTGTAGTCTAAATATAGCTCTTTCTCTCAAAAGAGAAGGAAGAAAGAAGCCAATGATGTTACTGTTAAATCTTAAGTATATTTTTGTGCAAAATTCCATCTTTTCTCAAAACCTTTAGGATTAGAATACATGTAATACATGCACTTGGTATCCTAGGCTCTGGACCAGCAATGTGAGATTTACTAGCTCTTTTCTTTACTAAAAAGCCTTACTAAATAATCAAGGGCTGTTGTGAAAACAGGAGATTTCATGTCTAGAGTGGAAGGTGTACGTGATAAACCTGGCATAAGTGTTAAATAGAGTATGAGGAACTATCAAGACTGTGAGTTAGGCCCAGTCCAAAGGGACTCAGGAGTTAGCTTGACTAAGCTTGCTTCCACCAGTAACAAAAACAATCTGTAAATTAATAGGAAGACAAAGAATGTACTGAAACTCAAATATGTTATTGCTTGAGTTCATAGTAAAGACTAGTTTATTGATCATCTTCAGTGCATATTCAGAACAGGTCATTTCAAAAACAGATAATGGGAGTGGGTGAGAGGGCAGAGGAATTTTATAGTAGAATGAGAACCAATTCCCTCAAAATTTTCCTGCCCTCCACA